ATATATTTAAAAAAAAAGAAAGAAAGAAAATGTATTGGTCTTGCCCTAGCCAGTTTGGCTCAGTGGATAGGGCGTCGTTCTAAGAACTGAAAGTTCCCAGGTTTGATTACAGTCAAGGACACATGCCCAGGTTATGGCTCAATTGCCAGTGAGGGACTTGCAGGAGACAGCCGGTCAATGATTCTCTCTCATCATGATGTTTCTCTCTCTCTCTCCTTCTCCCTTTCTCTCTGAAATCAATAAAAATATTTTTTTTTTAAAAAAGTATTGGTCTTTGCTTATGCCTCTAATCACACTATATAAAAGAATATGTAACATAATATATAACACATGTTACATATAATATTATCATATTTTTATAACATTATAATCTCCTATAATAGAAAAGTTTAAATTACAGATCAGGAAAGAAAAAAATCATCCATAGTAATAATATTCAAATAGTCACCATTTAGTGAATTTTCTTGTAATCATTTATCTTTGTATAGCTTTTATTAGTCTTACATGGTGATCACGCTGTATGAATACTCTTGTATTCTGCTTTTTCAGTAAACAGCATTATGAGATATGCTTGAGATCCTGCTGTATAGTTAAGAGAATATCAAATTCAACACCAAAAACAATATGTGCATGTCATAAGAATTCTGGTCTCCACTCAATTTCCAAGTTCCCTTCATTCATTTAACAGGTATTTATACTGTAGGTGCCTATTCTGTGCCACATGCAGTGCTGGGGGATGAACATACAAAGTAAGCAAACGCATGCTTGTCCTCAAAGAATTCTCAGCTCAGCAATTACTCTCTGCCTTCTCAGAAATTTGGCTTACCTATGTGAATTTGAAGGTAATAAAAGAAATGCTTACAACTTGGGTATTTTTAACTTTATTCTTTTGAGGAAAATTAATATACACAAAGATTTATCTTAAAAACAACTGAAGCTTTCCACATTTTACCTAGTTATATTCTCATCTTACAGGTGAAAGAGCTAGAATTCTTTTGCTCATTTTGTGACATGTATTTTTCAACATTTATTGAAATTATGTAGTACTCTATTGGTCTTGAGATCAGTGTGTTTCAGAAACCAATAGAAGAGCTTTCATTTCTTCAAGATGTAAATTTTCAGATTATTCATGCATCCCCATCCTACATGTTTGCATGATATATTTGTTTATGTGCTAGCAGAAAATCATTGTCTACCAGTTTAAATAGCAAATGTAAAGCAAATGCTCCAGAAAGCACAGGTGCTTACATCCAACTGTATAATGATCCACATGCACCTGAAACTATTTGCATATATGCACAAGCATTAGCAGTGGTAACTGACTTTATTTGGAAAAATTTAAGTACTCCTAGTTGGTAATTTCTTTGGTTATATTCTAATTTAAGTCTAGTTGCTTAAATGGTGTCTCAAGATATGAAATAAGAGATAAAACAAGGTTTTGAGCCATAATTTCAAACCTCATGAAATACACCTCAAGTGATAATGAGTGGGAGCACTGAGCAGTGATCAGAAAATCTGTTCTCTATCTGAGGCTCCAACATTTACTACCCTGTTTCCCCGAAAATAAGACAGTGTCTTATATTAATTTTTTCTCCCAAAGTTGCGCTAGGTCTTATTTTCAGGGGATGTCTTATCTTTCCATGTGCTAGGTCTTATTTTCGGAGGATGTCTTATTTTCAAGGAAACACGGTAGTTAAGTGAGTTTTAGCAAGCTTATTAATGTGATCCTCAGTTTTCATATCAATAAAATAGAGATGTTGACATTCTTCCATACTTACAGCAGTAGTGCATTACTATTACAAAGCAAATCTTTGTAAACACGCAAAACACTACATGAGTGTTAGAAATTGGGTCTATAGCGATTTCCTAAAAATCTCGGTATAATTTTTATTTTTTGAAAGGCTCTGTTTCCTTACATTTACTTCTAAGTTGTCACAAAGGTTTTACATAAGAAAGGTGTTGTGTTTTTTAGAGACAGCACTTGTAATTTACCAAAAGGGATGCTGCAGTTACCAAGGAGCTACTGTATGAAGACTCCAGAGACATTTTTAAGAAAGAGAAAAAGAGAACTGGTGTAGCAAAGCAAATTGAATGGTAATTTGAATTCCTCTTATTTTCAGTCTGGGTTTAATGTGGAGATTTGTCTACTATTCTGTGTCTTTTGGCATAGAGAACTTAAAAAACTGGTAGGATGTAGATCCTTTAGAAGCAGTCCAACAGTTATGATTTCAAACTCATTCTAGAGCCTTAGGCATGAAACAGTCACTAATGGTTTTAACCACTGGAGACTGAAGTGTTTTTGTTTGTCAATGTTTTTCCGTTAATAAAGATTACCTAGCCAGGTCCCTAATGACAGCTGTTTGTATCAGAACTCCCAGGAAGCAGAACTCTGCACTTTAGAACTAAAATAACACAGTACAGTAGTTACCATCTCCAATGATCTAAAAGGCAGTAAACACAATACTTTAAAAATGTTAGGTTTTGCTACTATAATATAGGAAATAAACATGCTTTATTAATAACTGTGTGGGAATTTTTCCCTTCAACTGAAATTTTTATGAAGTAAGGGGATCTCTCTCTTAATGTATTTACTTTTATTTTTATTTTTAATCCTCATCCGAGGATGTTTTTCCATTGATTTTTAGAGAGAATGGAAGGGTGTGAGGAGGGTGGAGAGAGAGAGAGAGAAAGAACGAGAGAGAGAGAGAGAGAGAGAGAGAGAGAGAGAGATCAATGTGTGAGAGACACATCAACTGGTTGCCTCCTGTATTTGCCCTGACTCGGGCTGGGATTGAGCCTGCAATCAAGGTACATGCCCTTGATCGGGAATCGAACCCAATACTTTTAAGTCCATGGGACAACACTCCAACCACTGAGCAAAACCAGCTAGGGCATATTTACTTTGGCCAGTGAAAGCACTACCCAAAATTCTAGCACCAGATTCCCAAGGAACCATAAATCTAGATGTATTATGGATTCTCCCAACTAAGTTAATTGAATACACTTGTCTTCCTAATCTGAATACCTATTATGAGTTTGTCTTGTTAACAACATGCTTCTTTTCTTTCACTCACCCTCTCTCTGATTACTACATAATGGTCTGTCTCTCACCCTTCCCACCTCCCATCATTTCATAACATTCCATTATATAGATGTATACCCTCATTTCTTCAAATATTCCCTAACTGCTGGACACTTGATTGCTTCCAATCTTTTACTACCAGGTATAATGCTTCATTGAATAACTTAGTTTACTTGAGTTCAACCTATCTACAAAACAGATTTCTAAAAGTGGCACTGTCTGGTCAAAGGGCAAACTGCATCTGTAATTTTGGTAGATACTGCCAGTTTCTGTTCCAAAGGAATTATACCATTTTATATTCCCACCAAATGTGCAAGTACTTGTTTCCTGAAGACTATCTGTAAAAATACACATGCCTGGATTCCACCCCTCAAATTCTGACTCAGTAGATAGAGGGTCAGACCTGAACAGGCCTATCATCAAAAAGCTCCCCAAATAGCACATTCCTGGTTGAGAACCCCAGTTCTAAAAGGTATTCTCATCTTATTTACACTCTTCAGATCCATAAGAAAATCAAGTTCAATCTTTAACTTCCAAAGTTTATATTCCATATCACTCGTTCAATACTAGTTTTTGAATGCCTATGATATGCTGGACAATCTAGGTGTCAAAGACAAAAGATAAATAATAGTTGTCATCAGGGTCTAATAGTGATACATATTTGAGACAATATATAAGCATAGTGTTAGAGATTTACATAGTATTTTACTGAAAAGGGATACTTCACCTTAACAGGGATGCCAGAAGAGGCTTTCTGAAGGATGTGCCCTGGAGTTCCAAGGGATTAACCAGATAGAAAATAACATAAGCAAAGGTAGAAAATAAGAAACAGAAAGGGCGGTATGTAACTGGAAATATTTCATATTGTCAGAGCACAAAATATAAGGGAGAGAAGGAAGCTGCAAAAGTAGGCAGAGATCAGGTCACTAAGCATCTGGGATGTCATGTTTAGAAGCTTGAACTTTTATAGGCAAAAAAGTCACTCAAGGGTTTTAAAGGCTGGGAGTAACACGATCAGATTGTTGTTCTAGATTTATGGACAATGGGCTGGAAGGGCACATAACTGGAAAAATAAAAAGCAGGAAACTGGTGCAGTAATCCAGATGAAAGCTGGAATTAGGGCAGGGGTTAAAGGAGAGAATGGACTAAAGAAATCATAAGAGGTAAAATGAGCGGGACATAGATATTATATTTTGGAAGTGGAAGTGAATAGAAGTTTGATTTCAAGGTTTTATCAAACCATGACCAGGAAAGCAAGAGATTTAAACTATTTTTCCAGTAGCAGTGATAGGTTTGCACTGATTCAGTCATGCTCTCTTATCTGGTCTTCGCATGTATGAGACCAAGGATAGATGTACGCAGACCAGCAATACACACAGAATGATGCATCATGCTCTCATCAACTAAGTAAAGTAAGTATAAGCAACCCAACAGGGAAACACATTACATGGTCATATCTCTGATGCATCTTCTCTTATAATTCCTCTATTGGTGAGTCTCTTGATTCCACTTTCATCTATGCCCCTGAAGTGATTTAAACAATTGCTGCAACATAAATGTCAGTCAGGGAACAATATGTGGCTAAGGGGCAGCAGTATGAATAGCTGTTTTCCCAAAGCTAAACTCAAAGCCAAACTTTACAATATTAGCAAAACATTTTGGGAAGCCTGCTGTCCTGCCATTAAACGAACCCTTCCCATTACTCTAATTTCTCCAAGTATAATGGTCCTGTGGGGATGGAGCAAGATAGCGTTGCAGGTACTAAACCTGGCACTAGCTTTCTTCTCAGAGTTCCTAAAAAAAAGATTGGAGGGAAACTGGAAACTAAATAACCATCAGATGAAAACAAGTCCTCTGTTTAGAAAGTCCATGAATGAAACACATACACATGCACATGCACAGTAACACTAAGGCTTACCTTTCTTTTATCTTCATCTGTTGGTTCAAATTTGAAAGTAGCCCTATGCTGAGGGAGGAAAAAAAAGGAAAATAATGTCATTTAAATACAAAGAGTTTTAATTTTTGCTATGTTTAAAAATATATATTATCTCTGAAAAATTTTGCCTTCCCCATATATTTCACTTTTCTTATTAAAGTAAGAGAGCTAGGCATGTAAGCAAATAATCTTCAGAAGTATAAAAAGACGACAGCAGAAATATATACCAAGGAGCACAGAGTGCCAAGCTGCTAACGCTGCCCGGGGAAATCTGGAATGCTCTGCCTGCAGGATAGAGGATTGGAACTGGACGTTGGGGTATGAATAGAAGTTTGCCAGGAGGAAATGGAAAGCATTGCAGGAATAGAAACAAAGGCTCAGATGTGTGAAACAGGATGATATATTTGTGAAATAGCAGCTCTGTCAGGGTGAAAGCACAAATGTTAGGGGGTGGGAGGAGTAAAGAAAGATGAGAACGGAAAAGTAGATTGGATAGAGATTTGAAAGGTCCTTCCGATGTTGAGCAGTTTATACTATCTTTATCATATGTAATAAGTAATCATCGGATAATTATAGATAGGGAAGAGACTAGTCAGACAAATATTCTGTAAGAATGAGGGTTTAATATTATGGCTCCATCACTTACTAATTAGTTCAGTAAGAAACAAACTCTCCATAACTGAATTTCTCATGTGAAAAGAGGGGGTACCTAGTTCACAGAGCTGCTGTGAGGGTTAAAACAGCTGTGGCATATAACTCACCATCTCAATGACTGGCACATACTAAACAGTAAACAGGGTTATAATGATGATGATGCCAATGATATTGAGGGGGAAATAACCGAAAGAGAATAAGAGTGTCATGACTCCTGAAATGACTGGCGGGAACACTGTCTTTTCCACTCTGTAGCTAACATAGATGATGGAGTAAGTTGACTTATCTACTGTCACAGAAAGAGTGATGGTACCCAAAAACTAGAGCACAAAATTCCTCATTCTCCTCTCAAGTTTTAGTCCGAAGAACCAAGTGCTTTTATGAATCCTAAGCTTTGCTTTAAAAAAGTCTCCAATGAACATCTCTCTGCCTTTCCTTTGTATTCCCTCACTGGCCATACAAACAAACATTTACTGGCAACCCACCAGGAGTTAAGTACACTGAGTACTGAAGATATCATCATTACAGAGGGGTTCTAAATTGACAGCTTTGTAGAAGAAGAAATTTTTGATATTAAATTTATGAGATGGAGAAGAAATGTCGACAGAGCAGAAGTTCTGAATATAAGAAATGGTCAGAGGAAGGACTTAGAGAGGTAAAGGAGATTGCTTCTTATATGGTATGAAAACCACACCATAAATTAAAATGAATTATGTCAGGTGGTAGGGGCTGGATTTTAAAATTTACACCTAAATTGTAAGAAAGGTAGCAGGCATCTAGCAGAAGACTCTTTTTTTTAAAAAAAAAAAAATGTGAACAGTAGAGCATGCTGGAATAGTTTGGGCAGTAGCTAACAGACCAGATCAAAGGAGAGCAAGACTGAAGACACAAAGCTCTCTGGGAAATGGTCATCAATAATCCAAGCATGATATTGCTGGCAGCAGTGTAAACTGACACAAACTTTAAAAGAGAAACTGATTTGGCAACACATATTGGAAACCCTAAAAATATTCATTCCCTTTGACCCAGAACTTCTACTCCCAAGAACTTACCCTAATGAAATCACCCAGAATGAGAGAAAAATTATATATGTAAACATATTCACTGCAATGTTATTATTATAGAAGAAAAGAGACAACCTTGAATATCTAATAACATGAGATTAACTAAATGAACTGCTATGCATCCACCTGATGGAATATTATATTGCAATTTAAAAAAGATAGCTAAAGAGCTCTGGAACAATATGGCAAATAATGTAATACGTCATTAAGTAAAAAACTATCAAATTATAGTTCTGTGTCTATGATAAATATATGGATGCATTTGAACATGCAAATATAGAAGCGACTGTACAGGGGTGGTGGAATTTCTGGTAATTTTTTTTTGTCTATTATTTTTATAATTAAAAGGGACATTTTAAAAATAAAAGATGAGCCCTGGCTGGTGTTGCTCAGTAGGTTGGAGCATCCTCCAATACACCAAAAGATTGTAGATTTGATTCCCGGTTGGGGCACATACCTAAATTGCAGGTTTTGATCCCCAGTCAGGGCACATACCTAGGTTAAGGGTTTAATCCCCAGTCGGGGACATGTACAGGAGGCCTCTCTACCTCTACCCCCTCTACGTCTCTCCCCCTCCACCCCCCCCTTCTCCTCTCTCTCTTAAAAAAACAAAAAGAGGGGGGAAATCAATAAGTATAGGATAAAATCATAAGGTGAGGATTAAAAATAAAACATCAAGGAATGAACAAGAAGAAAAGGAAGAAAGAAAGAACTTGAAAATCTGAAGGCTATAACTTAGGAATTTATAGACACGAGTTTTAGTAAAAACCAACATTAGATAAAAGATAAAGAGGCACCAGACATCGGGCTAAGCTTGTAAACTGAAGCTTAGTAAATATCCAATACAAATGAAAATATAATAAGTTGTACTTACAAACCAAGAAAGCTTATTCTTTGCCATTATATGTGAATTCCATAAATTATCTGAAATAAATGTACCTAGTTGCCAATATAATGGTTCTTGTAAATATTTTTCAGCATTTACGGTAAGGAAATTTTTTTAAAAAAGAAATCTTTGGGGGAAAAACCCCCATTAAGTTATAAAAATATATTTTTAACAGTTTCTACGTAGATTTAATTTTTAAGGTAGTAATTTAGAATGGTACCAAGGACTAATTTTTCTATTGCTTTTTAAATACAAGGCTGAACCTGTATTAAAGAAGAAAAGCTTCCAAGAACCTGTCTAAATAACAGGAGGGTTTAATTTAATCAGAAGGTATATTGTGGTATGTGAGGCAATAAAATTGAATTTTGAATGTGCCAATCTATTCAGAAATGCAGCCTTCTAAGCTTTTTTGGATCCAAAGATACTGAAAGCTGAGTTCTTTTATCCAACTTAGATCATCCCTACCCTACTCAGTACCTCTAACCTTTATTCTCCCCCCTTTGTACAGCTCAAAGGAAGGAGAAGGGGAACTACATTTCTGGCTATAAATGCCTTTCTAGAACTGCTAGCCACCTCACCTTTATACACGTAATTTCCAGACAAGCAGGAGCAACAAGTCAAACATAAACTAAAGAGTAAAACTATTGTTCAATTTAGAGATCTAGTAAGGCACAACAGCTCAGTGACACGCCGGACTCATTAGCAAGTTACTAACTCTACCAGTCAGAATTTCCTTCTTTTATGCATAGCACCTTGCACATAGCAGGTGTTCAATAAGTGGCCACTATTGTCATCACTGCATGGCCTATGATGTGCCCAAATACTGAACTATTGATGGTAAGGGCACTACAGTTATTTCATAGATTCTAAAGACACACTTCAACAGTACCAATAAAAGGGAATTACTCTAATTGGGGTAGGGTGTGTGTGGTGCTGTGTTTCATAAATGGAGCTTACTTCTAGAACTAAATGCCAGTAACTTCAATTATACAACCCATCTGGAAATAAGAATAAGGTATAACAAAGAAACAGCCCACTAAAATGCTCCTCTGTAAAAATCTGTGGAAATGAACTGAGTCAGAACTTAACCTCAAGGTGGAAAGTAACTCCTCTTACTTGGTACAGGATATTTATATGCCCTATTCAAATGTGGAGGCTGTATTTCTAGAACTGTCCCAATATTAGGTCCCAATTAATCAGGTCTTCTAGCACATAAACTAAGACCTCACTGCTATCAGTGTGGTTTTCCTCTCTTGAGGACTACTCTTGGACACCTACCTGCCTGAATCTTATGTAACTTTTACCTTTCATTTGTCTATAACTATGCCATACTTCGAAGGCAGAATCAATCATGTGGAGCTCTTTATGGGGTAACATTTGCCAAGTATCTTCTATGGCCAGCAGACCATCTCTCTGATTGTCATTACTGTTGATGACTCTACGCTTCAGTTCCTTCACCTACTGAGTGGGTTGGGTTGGACGCAATTATCTTTGAGACTCCTTCTAGTCTAAATATCCTGTGATTCCAGAACTATGATCCTACTGTGTACTTTGGGGTCCTGGACCACTATTTTTGTTGATAATCATAATGATGGCAACCAATTTCTCTATTAAGTCGTTATCAGAATAGGCCCTGAAAGAGGAGAACAAGATTGGACAGCTTCGACTAGCACAATACGTATTTCCCATAATAGCTCATTCTGTAACTGGAGTGGAGGTGATGAGGGTGCAACAGTCGCACTGGCACTGGAAAACCCTTCCTTTCTATGCTCAAAAACACAGACTAGACATGGAAAAGCCAACATGGCCTTGCAAAAAGAGCAGTGGAAATGGAATATGAAGACTAGGTCTGCAACTTCTAGCCATGTGCCTCAAGGGCCATTTGAGTATTTATAACATTAAATGAATGCCTTATAAATTTATAACATCACTTGGGGGCCATACAAAATTATTAACTTAAAAATTAGCCTGCTAATTTAGTCAAACACTTAATTAACTCACCCCTATTTGTCTTGGCACGGCCAGACCAATTGATTTTGAGGGCCTTAGATGGCCTGCAAGCTGGATAACCCACCCCTACTGTAGATAGTCACTTTGTCATTCTGAACCTCAATTTCCTATTCTCCCAAAAGGGAATACTTCCATCTCCCTCCTAAGTTTTATATATATTTTGATATTTTTACAAAGAGGAAGGGAGAGGGATAGAGAGCAAGAAACATCAATGAGAGAGAAACATCGATCAGCTGCCTCCTGCACACTCCCCACCAGGAATGTGCCCGCAACCAAGGTACATGCCCTTGGCCGGAATTGAACCTGGGACCTTTCAGTCCACAGGCCGACGCTCCATCCACTGAGCCAAATGGGTTCCGGCTCCCTCCTAAGTTTTAATGTAAGAGGATTATATGTGATGACATGTGAAAGTGCTTAGGATAACAGGCACTCAATAAATGTTAACAGATGAATTGAGAGGAGTGGAAAAAGAACCACCACCCTTCCTATATTTTTAATACTTTTTTTTAATACTTTCCTATACTGAGTCAATCTGCATTATGCCCTTGAGAAACAGACAAGTACCATGTTTTGTTTTGTTTTCTGGGATAAATAGATCTTCCCTCTCCCCATGATAACCAGGATCAGTGAAAAAAAGCAAGAAGGCTTGGAAATTAGAGTCACTGTAACACAGTAGAATTAGAGCCAGCCAGGTAACTGTTGCTCTAAATATGGTACACAGTATTTTGCTACCCATCAGAAAATGCAAGGGTCAAGGAAAAAGAGAAAGATTGGAATATACTCCCCAATTTTTCTTGTCAACTAGGTCAACTCAATGGCACATATTTAATTCCTATCTTTTTTTGTAAAAAACAAACAAACAAAAAAAAACCAACTAACAGTTATAGGTTCTTAAGAGACAGGCACTATTTTATGTGCTTTACACAAATAACTCATTTAAGCCTGACAACATGTAGGCACTGTTATTATCCCTGTTTGGCAGAAGAATAAACTGAGGCAAGGAAAGTTAAGTAACTTGCCCGAGGGCACAAGGATGGACAATTGAGAATCAAGAGTTCAGGCAGACAGTATGGCTCAAGAACCTGTGGTTGGGTCACAGGACTTCTTGAGTACCTAGATTACTGGAATTTATCACCCTCAGTGAATGCCTCCAGGGCATCGTGCTCAGTGTTTGGCATTATACTTCCTTTAAGTTAAGCCTCGGAATAACTCAGGTGGTATTTTTCCTGTTTTACAGATAAGGACAAAGACTCAGATCCTTACTCATAGTCATGAAGCTAATAATGGCAGATGTGAAACAAGCTTTATCTGACTCCAAATTCCACCTTCTGTCAACTGTATTTGATTGCCTCCTTTTGAGGACTGGCTTTATTAGAGAAAGAAGGTAACATAAAGAACATTGCCCAGCCCTATCCGGTTTGGCTCAGTGGATAGTGTCGGCCTGTGGACTGAAGGGTCCCAGGTTCAATTCCAGGTAAGGGCATATACCTTGGTTGCAGGCACATCCCCAGTAGGAGGTGTGCAGAAGGCAGCTGATTGATGTTTCTCTCCCATCGATGTTTCTAACTCTCTATCCCTTGCCTTTCCTCTCTGTAAAAATTAATAAAATATATATATATATATATTTTTAAAAAGAACATTGCCCAAACAATGAACTACATTCTCTATATATCATTCATTTCCCTCCTTGGTTAGACTCCTCAACCCCCAAAACCACCTCTTATTGTAACCATTTTTTAAATAAAAAATTTCAGGTAGGGAAAATGAAGCACAGGATATCCAGCTACTTTTTCAGTTTCAGATTCCATATTCTATCCAGCTGGTCAATTTAATTTCATCTCCCCATTCTTATTGCCGGATCACAGCAATCATACTTCCCCTTCCTATTCATTTGCCTCAATGTCTTTCTCCTTGAGGGGCAAAGTCCCACTGCCAACGTGAAATTCAGCTATTTTCTCTGCACTCTGGCCCTACTATAATCAGCATTAAACCTGAGAACTCTTTTCTGAAGCTAATTGACTCAGTATGAATCAAGTCAGAGCATTTTCAGGGGTGACCCAAAAAGTTCAAGCCTCCCAAACACTTCAGTAATATCCCCTTTAAAAAAAAAATACATATTTGGCCGACACCGGTTTGACTCAGTGGGTCAGCCTGTGGGCTGAAAGGTCCCAGGTTCGATCCCGGTCAAAGGCATGCACCTTGGTTGCAGGCACATCCCCGGTAGAGGGTGTGCAGGAGGCAGCTGGTGGATGTTTCTCTCTCATCGATGTTTCTAGCTATCTTTCTCCCTTCCTCTCTGTAAAAAATCAATAAAATATATATTTTAAAATACATAATTGGCCTTGGCCAGGTGGCTCAGTTGACTGGAGCGTCTTCCATAAACCAAAAAAGGTTGATGTTCGATTCCAGGCCAGGGGTGTGTACTAGAGGCAACCAATGTTTCTCTCTCTCTCTCTCTCTCTTTCTCACTCTCTCTCTCTCTCTCTCAAAAATAAAAATAAAAATAAAGATATCCTTGGGAAAGGATTAAAAAACACACATATTTAACATTACTACTTTAAAGACATTCCCAGTGTGAAAGGGAGCTGAGGATGTCCAGAACTTAAGTTGATAGCACTGATCAGGAGTGGGAACCAACCTGGAGAAGATCAAGGAAAGGGAGAGATAAGTTGGAGGGAGGAAATCTGGAGTTCTACTTAGTTTGGACATGAAGGGGAGAAAGAATATTAAAAGTGTGGTAAGATCCAGTTTGAAGGTTTTCCTTCTCCCTTCCTACGGGAGAGTTTTTCTTTATTGCTAGATATGTGTCATACAGTAAGTACTAAGGAAATACGAACTGATTCAACACAATGGCAAGGCTTCTGTTATTTCTTTTGAAAATCACTTTACAGTGCTTCAAATAGTTTTTTGGAGAGCAGTTATAAATCGATATAATCTCCACAATATGCCCATCTATGCATTAAATGAATTCTTCCTACATTAGGTAAATGGGCAACAGTAAAGTGTATCCGAGAGTGAAGGAGCTAAGAAGAGAAATGAATCCATGCATCATCTTCAAGGAATCAGGATAGTCCTGTAGAAAACAATAGTCAGACTATCTCAATTCAAATCTCTGCCCCACCTTTCAATGGCTGTGTGAATTTGGGGCAACTTTATCCTAAATGTTATCATTTGTGGAATGGGAATACCACCACTCTCCTCAAAGTGCCGCTGGGAAGATTACTCGGGAATGAAGGTGTATTATTTTTGGATCTCCGCCCAGGACAGAAATGGCATACTGGCAGTCCAATAATAATACAAAGTGTATGAAAGTGCAGTGGTGGGCACCACAGCAAGCACAGAAGAGGAAATTATGAATGGACGCAAATAAAAGGAAGAAACATGTTCTATCTAGGGTGTGACTTGGCGTTGGGTGTGTTTTCACAGAGGGAGTAGTCAGTCATTTCTTACACAGTAGTCTTCTTAATGGAAGAATAACGGTGTGGTATGCTACCTTTTGAAGTGAGCACGTAAAATTCCTGGAAGGATATGCAACGGAAAGCTAACGGTTTTACGAGAGAGATTCAGAGACATGGCTGGGATTTATAACAAGATACTTTTTTTTACCGCAGAGTTGTACAGTGGAAAGAACAATGAATGGTTTGAAGACCAAGGCTGGAATCCCAGCTTACCACCATGACCTTGGACAAGTTACTTAACCAATCAAAAATCTCAGTTGCAAAACGCAGATAAAAACCTCACAGGACTGATTTCAAGATTAAAGGAGATAAGGGATGGGAAAACTGTGAATGCGATACCAATAACAGGTATTATTTAGGAGTTAAGATTTCTACCTTCACTTACAACATAGTACGCCCATGACCTTGGCATGATTTCAGTGCATTGCGCCTCGGTTTTCCCATCTATAAAATGGGGAGGATAATACCATCTTCCCTGTAAACACTCTGAGAATCAAGTTAGACCACATACGAGACATCATCACACCTTGAAAACGGTACCGTGCTACACAGGTACATAAAGAACTAACCATCGTGGCTGATAACGTTCTATGCATGTCAAGGTCCATGTTTAAGCAAATATTTTTATGCTACACAGGTGAAGAAGCCTCGCGTGCATGTATGCATCCAGGAGTGGGGCGCAGGGCACGGACGCACATCCACGGATTCCGGGGGTGTGACTTGCGCGCTCGGGAGGGCGACCGCAGGGCTGCCTGCTGGGCCGGAATCAGAGGAGTGGGCGCCAGAGTGGGGGCGGGGGGGTGCAGGATGCACGGATGGGAAAGGCTGGGGGGAGCACAAAACACGCATGTCCAAGCCGGAAACATTGTTCGGGGGGGAGAGCAATGCGCATCCCCGGAATGGGGGGGTGGGGAAGGGATGCGCGTGCAAGCCCGGAGGGAGGGCGGCCGGGGTGCCTCGCCGCGAGCCTGGGGCCAGGGCTCTTTACCTTCTCGCTGTAATCCCTCAGGACCCGCTCGATAGCCCCCGCCTCGCCGGCCCGGACGATGTACAGGGCGCGCTCCTCATCCATGGCCGCAGGTGCGGGGGAGCCGCGGCCGCTCTGCGCGCCCGAGCCGCTGCCTCCAGGTAAACGCCTCGCGCCCCCGCTCGCTCGCTCGCTCCTTCCCAGCTTCCTTCCTTCCCTCCTTCCCTCCCTCCCTCCTGCCTCCAACCCGCCAGCCTCCGCCCGGGCAGGCCCGACGTCACCGCCCCTCAACTTTCACCCCGCGACGTCACCGGTCCCCCAGCAACCAGCGTCCCCGCGGCCGCCCCTGACCAGGCCCCGGGCTCGACCGAGGCCTGCCGAGCGGCCTGAGAGGGGTCAGGCCCGCGGTCCTGCCAGCTCCTCTGCCTCTCCCTCCCTCGCAGCAGCCAGCCTTTTAAGTGGGCTTTCTCGGACACAACTGTTCCCACCTGACCCTCCTCTATGAATCATTCTTCTCAGCTGACGAGAACGACCCGGCTCTTCCCCGCCCCTTCTAAGAGGCAGCCGCTAAGTGGACTACAACTCCCTGCGTGCAATGGGGTCGTCCCACGATCCCGTCTAATAGACTGGAGTGCCGAATGGCATGCCGGGATGAGTAGTTATCCAAGCGGGAAAGGCTTCTCTCCTAAGGCATGCTGGGAACTGTGGTCCCGCCAAGGCCGGAAACGAGAGTCCCCCGGGCCCCGGAGGCCAGCGGCCAAGAAACCGTTAGAGGGTGGGTCTAAGCGTGGGCCCTGCCTCCTTTTTGTTCCTTACGGAGCTGGCCGTCATGCCAGAGCCCTGGCTGGTTGGACTGGTTGCCATTCGCGGAAGCCGGCACCCTTTGGTGGGAACTGTGAAGCGCCGGTTTAATTCCCACTTTTCTCGCTTAGCGGTTTCGGTCTCTGTCAGATTCTTTCCTTCCTCCCTTGTTTGCGGTCTTGTTAATGTCTTCAGCTACAGTGATGTGGGAAATTGCAGGTAGTTATCTAGATAAAAGGGGGCCAGCGATTTTTTTTTTTAGTGCCGTTTTTGAAATGTCATTCTTTAATCTTTCAAATACAGTTGATATACAGTATTATATTAGTTTCAGGTGTATACCCCAGTGGTTAGACATTACATAACTTACTAAGTGATCATCCCCATATATCTTGTACCCATCTGACACCATACATAGTTATTAGGATGTTACTGACTATATTCCGTGTGTGGGACTTTGGGTCCCCATGGTTATTCTGTAACAACCAATTTGTACTGCTTCATCCCGTCACCTGTTATCCATCCTCCCAGCCCCCTCCCATCTGGCAGCTGCCAACATGTTCTCAGAACCTATGAGTCTGTTTCTGCTTTGTTTGTTTGGAGTCAATTGTTTTGTTTTTCATTTTTTAATTAAGATATTATATGTGTACATATCTTACCATTGCTGGAGTCAATTGTTGATAGATACATATTGATTGCCATGTTGTTGGTCATATTTTTTCTTCTTCTTAGGGAGGAGCCTGGAACATTTCATGTAATCCTGGTTTGGTGGTAGTGAACTCCTTTAGCTTTGTCTTATCTGGGAAGCTATATGTAGGCCCACCTTTGCTAAGCATTTACTGCATGCAGGCACCTGTCACTTCAGCTGTGGTGCCACAGTCAATTTGCCACAGATCCAGTCGGCAAATATTTGCGAACCGATGCTGTGCGGGGCACTGTTCCATACGGTCCAGCGCTGTGTGGTGTGGCGACGGTGAGCCCCAAGTGAGTGCCTGCCCTAACGGAGCTTCAGTTCTGGTGCTTACCCTATGGGGGATGGGGGGAGTGTCCTTTTCTCATGTTCAGATGAGGAAACTGAGTCTCGGAGGAGCTAATAGAGTCATCTACCAAGATTGCAGAATTTGGAAACTGAAGCTGTTCTTTTTGTTCTCCCAAGCTATTTGTTAGAGAGTGGGTGACGTTTCCAAGTAATTTCCAGTTTTCCATTCCAAGCAGCCTTTACCAGAAATAGTCTTTAATGCCTCCCCTGCCCACCTCTACCTCTTGAGCTATGCTGGAGAGGAACTAGAGACAAAAATGTATTCATCTAATAATTATTGAGTTTCTTCTATGGGTCACACATTGTGCTAGGCTTTGGGAATTTGGAGAGAAAAACCAAATAGGGAATCTGAGCTCATGGAGGTTTAGGCTTTCTGTGGTTTATACTTTTCATGCAGCAAAAATGTATTGAGCATATTTGTTGAGCCAGGCATTGGGGTAGGTGCTATGTCCGTAGTAAACTAAATGACAAAGATTTTAATCTATCTCTTGAAAGAGCACACTGTATAGAAAGGTCATGCTATAATAAGCTACATTCCTTAGGTAATAGTAACATCTAGCAATTGTTTTGAACAGTTTACAAACCATTTGAATATACACTATCTTAGTGAATCCTTGAGGAAGGTATTTTTCCGATTTATAGATAAGAAAACAGGCTCAGATGGGTTAAATAACACAAACTGGGACTCAGACTGAGAGCTGTAACATAACAGTATTTGGGTGCCTCCTCTATGTCCAGTACTGTATTTCATGCTTTTTGGGTAACCATATATTTATTTTTGGAGCTGGACAGGATACTTACAAGCATAAAGTATCTGAGTAGAGCTGTGTCTTTCAAAGAGAGTCTTACACATGTGTTTGAAATGTCTAACAGAATTAGGCTTATGTTTTTAGGCACACCTGTATTTCTAAAAAGAGATTTTAAAAATGTGAAACCACAGAAATTAACGGTTTGGGAAATTGCACTTTAGTAATTTTTAATTAAGCACTAATATTCTGATTTTATAAATTAAAAGGATCTTTGACTCCAATCAAGTCATCCTTTGACCACTGACGAGACTCTGGTCCCAGAAAAATTAAGTGACTTGTCCAAAGTCAATAGTTAAAAGCAGACTCTGGGACTAGAGCCTAGACTAGCTGAATCCTGGGTCACCACGTCACTTTACCTCCCTGAATATTTAGTTATGTGATACTTTCAGTGACTACAGCCTCTAGTCCAACACCAACTCTAGTTCCTGTTGATTCTTGGATGGTCTGGTACGGAGTTAGAGACTGGGTAATCAAAGCAGCAAATACTACTCAGTCACAAGTCATGGTTCTGAAAGATGGTAATATAATTTTGTACATGTATATCAACAGTGCTTTAGTAGCCTCAGAATATCTCCATGTAGATCATCTGATTTAATCATTATAAGAGCTGAAAAAATAACAAGGTCAATAGGACAGGCACTATCTTTCTTTTTACAGAGAAAAGGGAAGTTCATGGCGTTGATTAGCTTGCTCATAAGCAATAAGTTGGCTAATAAGTGGTATAGTTAAGGGCTAGAAGTGCTCCAGGTTCTGATAGAATAAAATGTTATAGACTTATAGGTCAGGGCCAATGAACAAGCAAATAGATACGAGTCATTTATTCTGGACTTTGATATATCCTGCTGTGGCACTTTCTCTGCCATGACAATGGGTAAGTTGCAATGTGCCAAATTGAAGGTTTTTAAGGAGTACTTGCTGCCAACAGCTTTTAAAATCCCAATCTTCCACATGCAGTTATGTTTACACCTTTTCTTTGAGAAGACAGCAGACATTTAAAAACTAAACGGCTTGGTCTAGTCACTACAGCTCCAGAACTAGAATTCAAAGAATTCCACTAATTCAAGATAGGACCTGTCACTCAGTCTTTCTTAAGCCACAGTGTCCTCAGCTGTAAAAATAAACGAATTGAGTCAGATATTATTTTAGTTCTCAATTCTAACATTTTGTGATCCTAAGAACCACAAAAGTATATTTGAACATGCTAGTTCTTTAGAAAAATCTATTGAGAGTGAGGTTGTACAAATCAATATGTGCAAATGAAATATCAATATGATATATGCAAATCCTTTCCTGGGCATATCTCCAAAGATTCTGATTCAGTTGATCTATGATGAGGCCTGGGAACTGGTAGTTTAAAAAGCCTCTCTGTTGATTTGAGTGAGCAGCCAGGATTGAGAAACAGTGGACCAATATTTTGATAGAATATCAACCACTGAACAAGTTTTTTGATAGACTACCAAAGTCAAGTGCATGTGACTCATTAATTAGTCTTTGAGAAATGAGACCGACCCAGCAAGATGAAAATTATTTTAATTTCATTTTCTACCAAGAATGAAGTCTTCTTTTTTATAACAAAGTTAATTATCATGGTTTGATCCTTTAAGAAATACAGGGTTGGGCAAAAGTTCATTTACAGTTGTGAGTACAGGAAACACAGACTCTGTTATGATATTATTGTATCATTTTTTATACAAATAACTAAACCTACTTTTGCCCCATCGTACATATGGTGATCACTGGAGCACAGAATTATCTTAAGCTCCATTAAAAAAAGATGTAGAAACAACTGGCCCTGTTCTTTGGGGGCTATAAGAAACATCCAGGCAATCAGCAAGTATTTCCTAATTGAACATGTCTATGCAAATCAAAGCAAGAAAAACATTGATGAGAAGAAGAGTAATCAGAGAAGCCTTCTTGGAGAAGGTGAACTGTAAAGACAAGGTAGTGGAGAGAACTTCAGAGGGCTTAGCAAATAGAGGGAAATGCCAGAAGAAAAATTCAGGAGGCCAAAATTAACCAGACGCTTATTGAGAAATGATCCCAACATGGTTGAACTTGAAAATAAGCAATGGAGATTTCCTAAGAGGTCAATTGGTCAGTGGGATAAGGAAAAGTTAAATCTGAGAGACATTTCATAATCAGTGATGACTCTAAGACCAGCCAATCCCACTTCAACATATTACATTCCTGAAAACACTATCTCACAATGCTATATGACAAAGTTAAATGGAACCAGGAAACAGCCGAGGTGTCTGTTGCCGGAGGGTGTCAGATCCTTGTGTACACTATTTTAATTTCTCGGGATCTTATTTATAAAATTAGAATTGGATCAAATCACTTCAGAGTGTTTTTTTAATTAAAAATGTGACTAATCTATTTAGACTTTCAGCATCTTTATGAGGTTCTGCAGTAACATTTCCAGTATTCTAATAGCTAAGATTGAGCCCATGCTATTAGTC